ATGTGAGTGAGAAAAGTTGTGAGAAAACTCTCTTGAGGAATTTCTCTTGGGTGGCCAAATGAAGCTCTTAGGGAAATTTAGTGAAAAGTGCCCTTTTATAGGCACATCCTAATTTCACTTGATTAGTATATTACAAATATACCCTTCCCCTAAATATTTAATTAGTGTCCATGATTTCCGAACAAAATCATAAACCAGGTATTAGGCCATTATTATTTTATTAATCTAATAATGATTTTTCAATATTTAAAACATATATACACCAATATATATATTTAACTAATGACGGTTTATTTATTTACAATATATATACGACAATATCCATATTTAAATAAATAACAAATCTTACATATTAAATCAACTATGGGATTGGATCCAAACAACAACCTTTCCAGCAAATTTAATTGCTCCGTAAGATTTACCAAAATACCCTTTCGGCAACAAATGACGAAAATGCCTTTCACTCGTTATCTTCTTTAAATTGCCTTTTGTGTGTGACCCGTAGGCTCCTCATCATGTTGGTAGTGAGTAATATCATGATCAATACCCTATTAATCATCTCATTCTACACAAACCAAGATTAGCCTCTAGTAAGACATCATGGCTACCCAACAAATTCAGATTTAGCGTATTCACTACCTGTCAATAGTATGATTACCGTGCAATCAAATCCTTTCATCACCTATTATCTCATCAAGGTTTGAAGCATAGAAATAATGTCAGTTTCAAGTATAAACCACCTTGACATATTTCAATTTGGTTATCAGACCAATCGACCAACCGAACATCAACTCGATTCCACTATGGCCATTGATTTCAAGGTTGTTGTCCTTTACCAAAAATCTCACCGAGATAATTTCTCTTGTACAATGATGAATCCTTTGTTGATTTACCATGGTCATGATGTACTTCTCAATGTAGCCAATCACTACCATATTGATAACCCTATCAAGATTATGTTTGGCTAGTGTCAAACTACATCAATTGTTACACACGAGGCTTCGGTGATCTCAAGTCTAAGGACCACATGCACCACCATCTGTTAGAAGGTGTATTCCATCGACATTAGGGTTACCATTTATATGGAATCCTCTGATGGGTTAGTCCAGTGAACTCGTGAATAACAAGCACCCATGCGTTGTACCAAGTTGTCACCAAACAACCTTGACATGTGAGGTCTTGATGCGTGTTTCTTACAACATGCAAAATGTAGCAAGTATACTAGCCGCTCAAGTCATAAAATGATGAGTAAAGTATCGTTCCCACGAGGATTGTTAGCAAAGCAATGAGTTTCCTAATGTTATCAAGTTGAAGCAATCGAATTCTTTGGATTGGTGGGAGCAAATTCTAATTAAAAACAACAATGAATTTTAAACTAAGATTAAAACTTAATTAAGAAAGCAATATGAAAACACGGAATATCAATTCAAGCAAAACGGGTAGGGTTTTGACTTCATTTGGATTTTTATGGGTTAAACCTAAAAATTACACTACATTCACATTCATACGCAATGGTTGTAAATCGAACTCACTAATATGTTAAACATACCCTCTCGGGCTATATTCTCCTATTCATCCTTATTAACCTTCTGCACCCAACAAATTGAAGATTAATAATTCCAAACTCATTAAGCAAAAGAATCCTATAATGATTTCATTAATTCTTGAATCTATCTCTAGCATCCAATACTATAATGGTGATTACCCAAGAAGCCTAACATGATTCATTTCTCAATCTCACCATGTTCATCACATACAGCATTAAAAATCAGAGTAACACACAACCAAAGCATATTCATATGAAAATAACACAATCAAACCCTTAACCCATTTAAAATCCAAACTACCATCAAAACCCTAACCCAAAATAGATTAGTTCATAGCTAAATCAATAATATAAAAACAAAAATCGGAAATAAAAGTTCAACATAATGAAACTGAGATAAAAGATTAGAAATCTCCCCAAAAGATAAATCCTCTAGTTAGAAATCAAGTCTTCTCCCTTTAACAAACCAAATCGTTCAAAGTTTACTTAGAAAAGTGCAAAAGTAGCTAACCCTAAAACAAAACGAAGACCCTCGGCCAAAAAGGCTAAGTTTTTCTTTTATACTTCGTCCAAATAACCCAGCCAAAACACGCACAGTACGAAACTGTGCGTTTAATAAAACTGAAATTAATGACTGTCGCCGCGGCGAAGAGTGAAGCAGACACGCTCGTCCCTGGCTTACTTCGCCGCGGCGAAGACAATTCCTTCGCCGGGGCAAAGCTTCTTGAAGAGTTCTGAAATTACAAAACTGCCCCTCTGCTTGCTTCTTCGTTTGATTCTTCGATTCTCAGTGCTCTCCCTTGGAAATAAGCTTCATCGTGCTTTATCCTGCTCTGGATTTGTAAATCCTCGTAATAGTGAATGGTCCAGACCATCTAGACTTAAGTTTTCCGGGGAAAAGCCTAAGTCTAGAATTGAACAACAACACCTTCTGTCCAACTTCAAAAACCTTGGTCTGGATGTGCTTGTCATGCCACCTTTTTGTCTTCTCTTTATAATTCCGGGCATTTTCATAGGCTTCGAGACGAAACTCATCAAGTTCGTTCAAAGTCAGCAATTCTTGTTCAGCCATTTCGACAACTACTTCTTCAGCTTCTTCAGCAAGATTTTCTATTTCTCTTCTCTCTCTGTTTCGTCTTCTCACGGTTCTCTCAAGCTCATGCTCAACAGGAACCACTGGTTGACGTCTTGCTTTTCGCATAAACTGAAACGAACAAGAGTGAAGAAAAGTGAGACCACAATTCTAATGAAAATTAAAACAAAAAATAAAACTTCAATCTAGCTAACTAAAGAAAAACTCAATGTTAACTTAAAACAGTCCCCGACAACGGTGCCAAAAACTTGATGCGTGTTTCGTACAACATGCAAAATGTAGCAAGTATACTAGCCGCTCAAGTAATAAAATGATGAGTAGAGTATCGTTCCCACGAGGATTGTTAGCAAAGCAATGAGTTTCCTAATGTTATCAAGTTGAAGCAATCGAATTCTTTGGATTGGTGGGAGCAAATTCTAATTTAAAAACAACAATGTATTTTAAACTAAGATTAAAACTTAATTAAGAAAGCAATATGAAAACACAGAATATCAATTCAAGAAAAACGGGTAGGGTTTTGATGAAGATGTAGGATTTTTATGGGTTAAACCTAAAAATTACACTACANTCATTGTTATAGTAGAGTTTTATTATGCACTTGAGTTGTTTGATGAAATGCCTAATAGAGGTTTGAGTATGAGTAGTGAACCTTAATTCTTGCAACATTGCATGTTGGCATTTCATAAGTGCATTAGTGGAGATGAACCATCCATATGCATTAATTGTGCATTGAGAAATGACTTAAGAAAGAGTAGAAAACTTTGTGTAGGCACTTGCTCTATGAGTAGAGAACTTTGTGAATGCAACTACTCTAAGGGTAGAGAGAATGAGAAGTGCTATGAGAAGAGTATTAGAAACGGGTTGATGCTTTGTGATCGTCACCCGATAGCTATTAGAAACGAGTTGATGCTTTGTGATCGTCACCTGACAGTTTTTAGAAACGGGTTGATGCTTTGTGATCATCACCCAAAAGTCATGAGAATCGGGTAGGTGCCTTGTGATCTCCACCCGATATTTATGGAAACCGGATAGGTGCTTTGTGATCCCCACTCGGTAGTCATTAAGAACGGGTTGGTGCTGTGTGAACTCCACCCGATAGTCATGAAGAGTGTGATGGCGCTGTGTGAACGCCATCCGGCCGTACCTCCGGTAAGATGAGGCTATGAAGTTTAGTAGAAAACAATATAAAGAAAGTGTGAGAAAAGAATTAAGAGAAATACTTACGGGGATAGATAGATGGAGGGTTTACTTACTGAGCATTATTTTGTGCTCACCCCGTTATTTTTCCTTTGTGGATGCAGGATCTAGGTGATAATGCGATCGGAGGGGCGTCGGCAAGCGAGGAGCAATAGCTATACTGTTTCCCTTGTTTTTGTCTTTTTAAATGGCATTTTGTAAATAATGCTCTTTGTATATAAAAGACTTAGTACATATAATAAAAAGAAAGTATTGGGCCCATTTTCTATTATTGTTATGCATGCATTGTACTAGTTTACAGCAGTTGTTACAGACTGTCGCCGCGCAAAGAATTCTTCTTCGCCGCAGCGAAGAGTGAAACAAACATGCTCGTCCCTGGCTTACTTCGCCACGGCGAAGACAATTCCTTCGTTGGGGCGAAGCTTCTTGAAGAGTTCTGAAATTACAGAACTGCCACTCTGCTTGCTTCTTCGTTTGATTCTTCGATTCTCGGTGCTCTCCCTTGGAAACAAGCTTCATCGTGCTTTATCCTGTTCCAGAACTCTCCTATCTTCTGAGATCCGCTAATTTCTAAGTCAAAAATATCCAATTTTGTCCTTATTTGCTCAAAATGTCCATTTTAACCTGAAATACGAAAAGTAAAGCATTAAGCAACAATTCAGGTCAAAATGCACTAGAAAGTACCTGAAATCCGACAAAAAGGTATAATGAAAAGTGTATAATTCACGGATTATCAATGTTATAACTAGATTAAGGATAAAAAATTTAGACGAACACCCTTTTTAAGCTAGCAATTCTCTGGATTCTCTCTATAGGATACTCAGTGAATACTTGCCATGTGAGACAGTACACTGCAAGACAAAGATCTTAATCATCAATCTTGGATCCAATCATAGACTTGGGAATGTCCATTTTTCTTTATGCAAAAACAAAATACATAGTAAGGCATATTACAAAGCCAACAAAACAAAGTAATTTATCTAAAATTGAAAATCACACTTAAATATATTAAAAGTAAAACACTCATTAAAAGTAAAACACTCAACTTAAATATATTAAAAGTAAAACACTCCATGTAAATATATTAAAAGTGGATCACTCACAAAAACATAACTTTAATAATTTTGGACATTTCCATCCCCAATTAAATGATCAATTCTCCCTTTAGGATTTTCGAAATATCAGATGTGTTATATCAACAGGTCCATGATCAACATTATCATCTTGATAAGTAAAATTTGCTTCTCTATTTTCATTTTGGTAGGCAAAATTTGCTGTCATATTTGTCTCTTTTTCTTCCAACAATGCTTGATAAAGTTCAACAAGATGTTTAGGCATACGACAGGTACGTGACCAATATCCTTTCATGCCACATCGATAGCATAGATTTTCTATATTCTTCAAATTTTTATGTTGTCCACTTTTGCCCTTTTCGTTTTCCTCTTCATCATTATTCCACTTCTGGTGGCTTTTATAATTAAATGAGTTATAACCACAACAATTGTGATTATTAAAACTTTGACCATGTCCACAACCACGGCCATGACCATGGCCATGACCTCGCCCACGCCCATGGTCATGACCTCGCCCACGCCCATGGTCATGACCTCGCCCATGCCCATGGTCATGACCTCGCCCACGCCCATAATTATTAGATATTGTCACATTCACTTCAGAGAATGGAGTAGAACCTGTTGGGCAAGCTTCATGATTTTTCATTAATAGCTCGTTATTTTGTTCAGCCACAAGAAGCCATGAAATTAGTTCAGAATATTTTTTAAAACCTTTTTCTCTATATTGTTGTTGCAGGAGCACATTTGATGCATGAAAAGTAGAGAATGTTTTCTCTAACATATCTTCATGAGTAATATTTTCTCCGCACAAGTTCAATTGAGAACTAATTCTGAATACTACAAAGTTATATTATATTATTGATTTGAAATCTTGTAAACGTAAATGCATCCAATCATAACGAGCTCTAGGAAGAATCACAGTTTTCTAGTAGTCATACATTTCCTTTAAATTTTCCCAAAGAGTAAGTGGGTCTTTTACTGTAAGGTATTCAGTTTTCAATCCTTCGTGGAGATGATGTCGAACGAAAATCATGGCTTTAGCCTTATCTTGATTGGATGATTCATTTCCTTCTTTGATGGTATCACCAAGACCCATAGCATCTAAGTGAATTTCAGCATCAAGAATCCATGACAAATAATTCTTGCCCGTAATATCAAGAGCCACAAATTCAAGGTTCGTAAGATTTGTCATGACGAAAACTATAAAAGAAATATTTAATCAATTAGACAATCTCTAATATAATGAAAATATTATCACAAATAAGAATTTTAAATAAAAATAATGAACATACAATTTATTACAATTATAAAATTTAATAATTTAAAAACATAAATCATAAAAGCAAATATTTACAAATATATGTGTCTTTCTTTATTAATCAAATTATAAATCCATCACTATGTAATGTTTTGTTTATAATGAAACCAAAACATTCTAAATTAAAACACTTTCATATATTTTATACTATAAAAATGATTAATTAACATTCCAACATATTTATAAAACATATTGAGATACAAGCAAAATTGAATTTACTTACTTGGTAAATGGAAAACTCCAACTCCAAATTTGATTAGGGACGAAAGCTTAAAACTTGATGAGAATCTTTTTCCCTTGACAAGTTGATATGGTTAGAGACTGGTGCTGATAACTTATTATAAAATAAACTAAAAGAAGAGAGAAGATAATTGAGGGGAAATAAAACTAATGCTTTTCTATTCCAAGGTTGAGTGTACATCATCTTTCACAATACGCTTATTTATAGTCTCAAGATTATGAAATGTTATAAATGAAATTAAAAGCTAATAAAATGCTTTGAAGTTGTAGAACTTGAAAGGTTTAAGAGTTAGAAAAGATGAAAGATTGGGAAGTTATAGAATTGCAAGGGACATCCAGATTTATTCATAACACAAGTTGATAATTAGGAAACGTTAAATCATAAGCGTATGACGTTCAAAAATGTAGATGTAATTGTAACAACCTAGATGTACTAAAGAATACCCAGTGACATGTATTAGTATATGTATATCAGTATAACCTAACCACTTAAAATTTTATTTTATGGGATCTACATGTCTAAATTTATTTTATTTTAGGGAGATGTAATTGTAACAACCTAAATGTACTGAAGAATACCCAGATGTACTGCCGCATTTTGGGCAGTCATTTCCAAAAAAAATTGAGCTGGAAAACCTTTTGCTGCAAATGCAATTTGGTGTGAGGCAAAGTTTGAAAGACCAGAGTTCAATTTGGTGCTGCAAATGCAATTGTGTGTGTATTATAAGCAATCCAGTTGCAAGTGATGGAAAAACCAGTCAGCGTGTCACGCTCTTGACACATGATGTCAGCATCAACTGTTTCTAATTGTAGTAAACACAAAAGTACACCTTGGCACCAAGAATATAACAACCACAGGTGATTATGTCCAAAGCAAAAAACTTTAAATACATTTTTTAGTGTTTCTTGTAACATGAAATTTCACAGCAGTAATATATATATAATCGACATGTGACTGGATTTAATTGGTAATGATGTGGGATATGTACATTTGACTGCATGTAATTGGTGATGATTTGAGATATGTGGATATGTAGGATTTTTGGTTACATGTGGCTTAATTTAATTGATGTTTGATATTTTTTAGTATTAATGACACATATTAATAATAATATAGATTGATGAACACTTTACATTCACATAAATATCTCTAACCCTTCACATAAAAAGCGCTACATAACACATACAACGTATCAATCCCTTTACATTCACATAAATATCTTTCTCTCTATATATAAATATTTAATGTGGTCACTTCACATTCACATAAATATCTGTAACCATTCACATTAGTTTCATATAAACAGTGCTACATAACACGTATAATGTATCAATCCTTTACATTCACATAAATATATCTCTCTCTATAAATATATAAATATTCAATATGAATGCGAAGTCTTTGTATTTATGTGAATGTGAAGGGATTGATACATTGAATGTGGACAGATGGATACCTTGTATTATTGAAATTAATGGGATTCTTATATATATGTAGATATATTTATGTTTTGGTACATTATTAACAGGAAGAAAGAGAGGTACTCAATATTAAATTGTTAGATAATTGTTATGTATCTTTTGCTCTTGTTCATTTACTATCAATATTTTTTACTGTAATTTTATGTAGGTGTACATGATTGGAAAAAAGAAATTGCTCTTGATAGTTGCAATATAGTTCCTACTAAAGGTAATGTAATGTCTTGAACCCTTTTGAGAAGAAAGATAGGCACTCTATATTAAATTGTTAGATAATTGTTATGTATCTTTTGCTCCTGTCCATTTACTGTCAATATTTTTTACTGTAATTTGATGTAGGTGACTATGATTGGAAAAAATAAATTGCTCTTGATAGTTGCAATATAGTTCCTCGTAAAGGTAATGTAATGCCCTGAACTTTTTTGACTATTGAATTGTAATAGGCCAGATGCTGAAACATAGATTCGGCTAGAGAATTGTGAGAAGCCAGTTGTCGAACAAGAAATTTGGCTATTGAATTGTAAGAAGCCATATGTCGAACCATTCTGAGCCATTAATTTGTCTATAATTGTACTATAGAATTGTAATAAGCCAACCACCGAACCATAATGTAGCCACAATTGTAATTGACCAAAGGTCTCCTGGAGTTGAAAATCTCACCACCGAACCATGTTTTCCGTACTATTGAATTGTAAAGATTCTTGACCGGATTTGAAAAGAAAGTTAACTAAAATTGAAGACTTTGAGAGAAACGGTTGAACATATAACAAATAGAACTGAAACTTTTTTACTAACTAATTTAGGAACATAGCAGGTTGCGTTTTTATATCAGGAAGATGATATAAAAACGCCACCGTATTGAGTTTAATACAAAAGTAAATTGTAATAAGAAAGATGCAAAACCATAAATTCAACAATAGAATTGTAAGAAACTAGTTGCCGAACCATAATTTATCCATAATTGTAATAGATCAAGATTTTCTTTAGTTCAAAATCTCACCACCAAACAATAATTGTTTCTGTTGAATTGTAATAAGCCAGATGCCAAACCATAAATTTGGCTATAGAATTGTGATGAACTTTAGAATAGCAAGTCTATTTTTCAAGTTAATTTCATGTTGTTAATTATATTTTTTGCAGGCAAATTATCACAATGTCCAATAACTCGTTTAAAGCTCTTGACCAATCCCGAGATGATTGGATAATCACTGTCAGAGTAGCTAGATTGTGGGAATGTCAGAATTTAATAATGAATAAGGAGCTGATTAGCCTTGACATGATTTTGATTGGCGAACAAGTATAAAATATATTCCTAAAATAATCAAAAGTTTTCTTATTTCTAAATTACACAAATTTGCTTAAAGTCTCTAATTTCCATTGATTTTCCAGAACCATGTGATTCATCGAATGATACCTAAGAACAAGGTTCCGAAAGTTAGGAACCAAATTCATGAAAGTTTGATATATTTGAACAGAAATATAAAAGTCATACCATGTGCTACTATTTACAAACCTATTGATGACACATACCATATACAATTTCTCATGATAACGTCTGTGGAAGAGATCAAAGAACCAGAGTTTTCATTCCAAAGTATCAATTTCAATTTGCTGGTCTTCATGATCTTCAAAATAGATCAAATGACACAACTTTATTGTCATGTATAGTTAGTTTGATTTATGCATGTTCTAAATGGATGAAAAATAGTTTGATATACTAAATACGATCAATGATATGCACATAACATGGGAATTTTGCACGCAATAGGAGAAATTGAAGAAATGAAATCAACAAAGAGTAAAAAAAGAGACATCGGATTGTGGATTGAACAGTAAGTTCTTCTACCAATATCATTACCTCCTGCTACCACCTCAAATATCTCACGCCAAAATTAATTGCAGAGAAACAATTAGTATTGCTTTATGGGGAAAAACTTCTGAAGAAATCAATCAAGAAAGTCAATTGTAATAATTGTTACATCAACAAATGTGAAAGAGTTCCAAGGTAATATTGGCACATTATATGAAATTAATATATTTTGGATAACTAACTTCTGTTTTTTTATATACAAGAAATTTGTTTCTGAATACAACTTTAGCATCAAGAATTTATCTAGATTTAGATATTGAGGAGGTGCATTCTCTACATAAAATGTATGTCAACTTTAAGAAATCGTACTTTATGATATGTTCACTAATAATTATATTTTATATCTTATGTACTGCTCATAATTGCAGTAATGAAACTATGCCATAGTTCAATTGGAGAAGAAAATTCTAAATGAAGTACCAATTGAGAAGGAAATGTTTCAGAATAGAGCATCGTTAAAGCACGTTACTAATCTCATATGGTATAACAATGATCTGGTACAAGATTTAGTAGATAATTAAACTGATTATTATAATATACCTTTTAAATAAGGATTACATTTGAATAGGTAAAGGAATACATAGTGAAGGCAAAATAAATGAAGTTGATGATACGTATGGTTGGTGCTACCTATTGTGCAATTCTTGGAAGAGGAAAATTCCTGTTAGTAATAGCAATTTCTATTGTGATAAATGCAAAAAGGAATCAAAATTCCCTCAAATGAGGTATATTAGTACTTATTTTTAAATCAATTACAGTGCATAATTTGAATCATTGGTTTATAATAATGTATCATTAATGGAATAATAGGTACAAACAATTTCAACCATTGATTTATAATAATGTTCAATTAATGATATAACAAGTACACGGTAGATATAAGTGACAGACGAAACTGCATAAGTAATTTTTATATTGTTCAATAGAGTAGCCCAAAAATTGGTTGGGTTATCATGTTCTCGGCTATTGAACAATTAGAGACGAAAATCAGCTGGTAAAATGCATGTCACGCCCGAGGATCCACACAGGAATGTCTCTCGGTGCCCACACAGGTACGTGACTCACAAAGTACTGTCCCCCCCCCCCTTAAGGGATTTCTTTCGCCTCCCCCACCACTCGAACCCAAGACCAAGGGGCTATAGTCAATTGGGGAGCATGGTGAGTACCATCAGGCTACTGTGTGGGCACCGAGAGACATTCCTGTGTGGATCCTCGGGCGTGACAATGCAGAGGAGCAAATGGTTAACTGATAAAGTGCAGAGAAGAAAAAAGGGAAAGTTTGAGA